TTTTTGTACAAGGCGATGTGGTTGTGATGGATAATTGTGGATTCCATCACCATAGACAGGGAGAGCGCATTTTAAGAAATATGCTGAAAGAATATGGCGTGTCCCTGGTTTTTCAGCCGCCTTATTCCCCGGAATACAACGTAACTGAATATGTATTCAATGTCATGAGACAGAGGCTTCGGGCAAATATACCCGACTTGTGTCAGAATTTCTGGAACTTGCAGTAGTAAATGCTCTAGATATTCCGCCCAACCAACTTCAAAGTTTTTTCACATGTTGCGGATATGTATAATTTTCGATGGAAAGATAAAAAATAAAATAAAAAATATATGGGACCACAGAATTCCTTTATTTTTTAATGCAGTATGAATTATCGGCATATATCAGGAGGTCCCAGGTAATTCGTAATTCTTTGTTACATATAATAGAGCTTGGGCTTAAACCGAAATATTTTGAGCCAACCCTCCCCCCCCCTTCAAAAAAATAAATAAATAAATAAAACTAGTACAGAATGACTATGTGACTACATTCACTGTTAAGATGTTATGAATTCTCCGGTCCCAGTGATCTAACCTGTTGATATATATTTTGTACGTAAATTAGTTTAGTACTGAGTAACTTTCGTTTTCTCGTTGTACCATCGATGGAAAAGCAAAGTATCATTGGGTGTAGAACGAAACAAATGGGACAACCCAATTAGGTCTGATCTGAAGCCACCTGTGACTTGGACTCTTCCAATTAACCTCTCGCGACAGTCGAGTGTTTGTAAAATGCCGATGTCTGCACAGTATTTTTTCACCTGGCTCCACCCACAATCGATCTAGACTTGGCTCTGCCAATCAGAGAGCTTGTTGCATAAATTTAAGGAATTCGATTGGTGAAGTACTTCAATACAATACTATCAATACTTTGTTCAGTACTACAGTACTTGAAACGTTCACACCTTCCCTTCATCGGTAGTAAAGAAAAACATTTTTTTAAGGAAACACAAGTGTCTGTCACTGATCAAGGACAACAAGGTGATCGGAGGTATATGTTTCCGCATGTTTCCAACACAAGGTTTCACAGAGATTGTGTTCTGTGCTGTCACATCCAACGAACAAGTGAAGGTGAGGTTTCTGAAAATTCATTGAAAAAGTGTTATTGTTTACACCAGTAAAATATTTTCTTATCATATGACAATTTTGAAGTAAATAATCTGGTAGATCAAATTATTTTCTGTGTTGAGTCATATTCATGCAGATTATTTGATAACTATTTGCTATTATGTAAGAATCTCTGAGACTATATCTCAAAATAGACAAATGTTAATTGACTTTGATGAGATAAGTGGGTTGGATTTAATAAGCATTTAATTAGTATGTTCTGTTATTGAGGGGTGTAGGTCAATAATTTTAATTGTATTATTTGGAACTATAGTTGAGTTGAAGTTCTGGTGTTTTGTTTCCAACAGGGCTATGGGACCCATATGATGAATCATTTAAAGGACTATCACATCCGACATAGTGTTCTCCACTTCCTCACATTTGCTGATGAATATGCCATCGGTTATTTCAAAAAGCAGGTATGTTATACATGTAATTGTGTTTATCTCTGTTCGTTTTGTAATTTAATAAAAACAAAATTTTCAGTCGTATTTTCATGACATTGTCACATGCAGAAAAAAAAAAAATTTTAAAATGTTCTATTATAAAGTTTTAAACTTTTCCATGATTGCTTATGGGGATTTCGACATATCTAGTTTTAGTGTGAAAATAAAATTCGTGGACTGTTAGACTCAAATTTCAGCAAGATATGTTGCAATCTGTTTCTGGTAACAAATTCATCCCAATAAATATTGACAACAGACTGAGGTTCTGAGTTGATCAGTATTGTTACCCGTTTGATTGATGACAGCATCAACTTATTTCATTTATCAAGTCAGTGATGAAATTCTAATTCTGAAGGGGAAAATCAATGACTTGTTTATGAGTACTTTAAATCTGAACAATGATTTGTTTAATATACATGTACTGTTCACAGAATGTTCAATTCAAATATTTTTAAAAAAGGTGAAATTTGTTTATTTTATCAGTAATGATAACCTTTGCAAAGCACATTCTAAAACTTTTTAATATGTTGTACAGGGAAAAAAACACAATAGAGGAATATTTTAAGTGTCTTAGTTATACAAATGTACTTCAAATAAAAAAAGAAGTATATTTTTTTGTGGATGCCAATTTCAGGGCTTTTCGAAAGATATTAAGATGAATAGGTCAGCCTACCTTGGCTACATCAAAGACTACGAGGGAGCAACGCTTATGGGCTGTGAACTAAACCCAAGAATCTGTTACACTGACTTCTCCAGTGTCATCAGAAAACAAAAGGAGGTAGGATTTATTTAATGCCATGTAATTTACAGGAAATTCTTTTTTTTTTTTTATTTAAATTTTCATTGGAAAGTGAGAGAGAAAATGCATTTATTCATGGGAGGTGTTAAGGCAAGTGTGATTTTCACTAATCATTGACATACTTTTCAATGTAATTATTATCAATGTAATCTTATATCATTCTGAAAAATAAGAAATATAGCTCCCCTAGAAGGAAACAGCATTGAGAGTATCTAAACAGTTAGTTGATGCTATACTTTTTATACTGGTTTTGGTGTATAGAAAGGCAAAATGCACTGAACACTGGGCAGTAAGCTGTATATTGTAAACAAATTTTCACTTGGTTTTGATTTGAATATGATAGTATATGGATGATCTAAGCATTACAGTAATATCAAATTCATGTACACTAGTTATTTTCCCTGGATATTGTTACTGATGACTAAAATAAATAAAAACAAAAATATGAAAGAGATCTTAACGCAACTCAGTCCAAAGGACAGTCACAGGAAAGGATTTTACAAAAAGGTTGAAAAGCTGTTAACTTACTTACTTTTCTTACAATCTCAGACCGATAAGAAACCAAGATATATTAGACTGAAATAGAAGACATATACTTATAAAATTCTATTTATGCCATGGTGTTGTCAATGAAATATATATTGAAACACTTATATACGATATACCACATGTTTGCTGTGACAGATAGTGAAGACCATTATAGAGAAGAAACAGGAACAGCTACAGAAGGTATACCCTGGCCTGACCTGCTTTAAGGAGGGCGTGCGACAGATACCAGTTGAGAATATACCAGGTCTACATGATCTTGGCTGGAAGCCCCCTGTTGATAAAAAGTATACATTTCCTTAACATGTACATGATGTATTAGTTATGTCATACTATGGGAATCAGTAAATATCAATGTGATAGTGTTAGGATATACCTTAAAAACTATTTCACATGGTATATGACTGAATGTATTTAAAATATTTTAAATAGATTAACAATATATTTATGATCTAAGTTGTTCAGTTAATGTGACACTATTCCTCATAACTACTAACTATTAATACCTAATGGATATTTATTCCAGAACAAAAACCAGGATGAACATCAAGTGTTTTCTTTTTATCCTTTCAGCAAAGAGACACCTGTCGATGGTGAACAACTGCACTCAACAATCAAAACAATACTACAGCAAGTTAAGGTAACTGCTTGATGTTTGGTTCACTCAAGGCAGTCATATCAGACATATAGTGTCCACGCCGAATACTTTTAATTTTTGAGACAATGCAAAAATCCAAGATAGCAGTCCAACTTTCATCTTTCAAGTTAACCTGCATCGGATGGCATTCCACATTTCTCTGTGATAGGATACCATTTTTTCAAGTGATGGGATACCACCCACCACTCTCTCCTCTTTAGATATGTCATTGTCATCTGATTAGGTATCAATATGTCCTCAAATATTGGATACTACCCTTTCCTTTGATTGGATACTATCCTGCCCTTAGATTGGATACTATCCTGCCCTTTGATTGGATACTATCCTGCCCTTTGATTGGATACTTCCCTGCCCTTTGATTGGATACCTCCCTGCCCTTTGATTGGTTACCAGCCTGTCATCTGATTGGATACCACGCTGCTCTTTGATTGAATACTCTCTGTCCTCTGATTGGAACCCTCCCTGCTTTCTGATTGGACACCAACCTGTAATCTGATTGAACACCACCCTATCATTTGATTTGATACAACCCTGTCAATTGATTAGATACCACCCTGTAATCTGATTGCATACCACCCTGCCCACTACCCTGTAATCTGATTGAACACCACCCTGTCATTTGATTGGATACAACCCTGTAATCCGATTAGATACCACCCTGTAATCTGATTGAACACCACCCTGTAATCTGATTGAACACCACCCTGTAATCTGATTGAACGCCACCCTTTCCTATTGATTAGATACCACTCTGAACATTGATTTGATACTACCCTGCCCTCTTATTAGTTTTACACTTGGAATAGGGGGACAACTAAAGGTTGGTGTTGTGTCTGTCCTTCAGCACTTTATCTTGTCTCGGCTTTTATTTTCTCTACTACTTTTCACTGGAACTTGGTACTTTGGGTAGGGGTTCATGTTGGTGAGCAGTTGTGTCATGAATCAAAAATGAGTCCCTGACCTACACTTTGACCTATATTAGTTTGGGAGGGCTTCATCTCCTACACTAATTGTCACTGATTTAGTGAGGCTAAGGTAGTGTGTCATGTACCGAAAGTTGTCTTGTTCTGTTTAGATACCATCTTGCCCTCTGATTAACACCAAAACAAAACTCCTCTGGGATCTTGTTTTAATTCACAAGAAATATTAACGTGTCTTTGAAAATAGTACTAGGGTTACAATGACTTTAACAATGTCAATTTGTTGTACTGGGAAACTGAAAGGAAAATGTTGGCATATCTCTGTATTTTAGGACATAATGTACAATTGGCAGAAATGTTATAATTATTATGTTTATTTCTTGAATAGTCCAATGCCAGTTCCTGGCCTTTCCAGAAGCCTGTTGACAAATCTGAAGCACCAGACTACTACGACCATATCAAATTTCCTATGGGTAATTGTTTCTTTGTTGTTCCTGCTCCTCTCAGAGGTGATCCATATGATAGCAGTTATAGAAAGTCATATATATGATACCAGATAAGCCTAATATTTAGACTGCAAGAAATATGGCATTTATTATTTCCCTTTCTTTACAGTTTTAAGTTGGACAGAATTTCATATGCAAGGAATTAGAAATGAAAAATGCTCAAAAAGCTATTTGTAAATTTTGTATTACAACATTCTCTTCTCTGCAATTTACATAAATGTTTTTAACAAAACTTTATTTCTTTTTCAGATCTGAAAACAATGACTGAAAGATTAAAAAATCGTTACTACTGTAACAAACGACTCTTTATCGCCGACATGACCAGGATCTTCACAAACTGTCGAGCCTATAACAAACCAGACACTGAGTACTACAAGTGTGCTAACACATTAGAGAAATTCTTCTGTACAAAAATGAAGGAGGCTGGTCTGATAGAAAAGTGAAACTGTTATAGTGGGTGGGGATAGGGACTTTAAATGAAGGTGATGTAGATACTGATACATTCACTGGAGCAAGATTCTGACATTTTAATATTGAGATCTGAATATGCAAATGTGATTGATATACTTCATTACAGTAGTAAGTTACATGGTCAGCTGTACTATTAAGATAAAATTAGACAAAAATACCGATGTCTCTCATGTTGAGATATTTAGAACGCAAAACATTAACAGTATTCATGACTTTTCATTACTATAAAGCAATAATGGTATTACAAAATATCAGAACATGAAAATAGTTTTATGTCAGCCTAAGATTTGATATTGTTTTATTTTAACTCGGGAAGTACAATCAGTTTTTTTTTTATATATTTTAAGTTTTTGCAAGTGTAGGTGCAAGTCTGACAGTCTGTGTTGAATCTGTGTGTATGTGTGGTAGGTCCACAAAAGAAATGCATGTTTGATGTGGAGCATGTTTGTAAGATAGAATCAATATGTGAGTGAATGTTTGGATGTGGAATGAAGAATGTCAGTATTTAAAGGAGTAAATGAATTACTTGGGTGTGTTGTCGATATGTCAGCTTTCCCAGATTTCTAGACCAGTCCAAGTTGCAAATTTTAGTCAGTTTGGCCATTCTGGCTACCATTATATCAACATATATGGTCAGTGTTTACTTTGAAGTTAAGGCAGCTTTCATGATACCCAATTGATACGGACTGGGAAGCAAGGATTTAATCCATGATAAACAAATGCACCTGTACTGGATGTTGGCTATGTTATATGTCAATATGTCAAAAAAAACCCTGAAAATGCAAGGTTTCAGAATTTCCTTTCAAACATAAAATAATGAAATTATAATAAGATGTGTTCTATTTGCCCAAACTGGATACAATGATATTTCCTGATATATGAATGTACACTGACTATGTTTGTTGCAGCAAACTCTGAAACTAGTGATAGTTTTAGACAGGTACAGGATGATTATTCCTAAAGTCTAGCCTCGATTCTAGTCAGTGCCTGGTATTCAGCTGGTTCAGCCATTTCAACACCATACATGAAATTGACCTTAGTTATCTTTAAATGCTATATCCTTGTGTCAACATTGTCCTTAAACAATGATACTAGATCATATACTTCTATATCTTGGTGTCCTTAAAAAAAAAACAAAAAACACACCAAAAACCATGGACATTAAACAGTGATTTTAAGTCACCTGGTGCTATATCCTGTTGTCAGCATTGACAGTTGACAGTGATTTTAGGTCATATATAGAGAATACATTGTCAGTGTCTTAAATACAACCTGTATTTTGGTGAGGGTGAAGAAAGACAAAAGTGGCAAGCCATTTATTCTATTTATTCCACAACTTTGACTACAAATCCGACCATCAAAACTTCAACAGTTTTTTGTTCAATCTTTATTTACCTGATATTGATGTTTTGCTGAATTTTGACTATTATTTATGTATGCCAAAATAATTGCTCTGTGCAGAAATATAGTTCCTAACTTCAATGGATAAAATAACCTTGCTATTACATCATGTAAAATTGCGTACCACAACATTTCAACAGCTACTTTTGTTTAATGTAATTTCAAAGTAAATTCTGAAATTGATTCTGTCAAATTCACACACATGCTAAAATACATCTGTTTTCCGTCACTGCTGAATACAGCAAAAATATATGTGGCAGAAGTATTCCGACAATGGCGCTGCCAGTTGCAGGATAAAGTGCTGTATCCTGTTCATATTATGCAGTGATTCTAGGTCACCTGTTGCTTTATCCAGGTGTCAACACCGAGTGATTCTAGGTCACCTGTAGCTGTATCCAGGTGTCAACACTGACAGGGTTCTAGGTCACCTGTAGCTGTATCCATGTGTCAACACTGACAGGGTTCTAGGTCACCTGTAGCTGTATGCATGTGTCAACACTGACAGGGTTCTAGGTCACCTGTAGCTGTATCCAGGTGTCAACACTGGCAGTGATTCTAGGTCACCTGTAGCTGTATCCAGGTGTCAACATTGATACAGGGCAGTGATTCTAGGTCGCATGTTGCTTTATCTTCTCACCAACATTGACATTAGGCAGTGATTTTGATCACCTGTTGCTATATCCTAATGTCTTGGGATTTGAGAAGGCTTGTCATAGATGCAATGTGTGCTTACAATGTTTTACACAGGTGCAGCCATTATTGTGGTTCTTAAACATTATTTTTTAACACTGTAAGATCTCCTTGCCATTTTATAGCATAATCTGTTGACAGTTAATATGCAAGGGATGATTGGTGAACAGTGATTCATCATTATAGTGTGTATTGCTGTAAAAAATAGTAAGTATGGTGGAATCTTGGCTTGTGTAAATGTGTTGAATCAATTGCAATACAACCACAATGAATCAAGTATGAAGAATGCATCACTTCAAGCAGGTTCTTCAATCTGCATGTATTAGATTAACTTTGAATCTACCAACCTGAAAATATCAAGATATGTAAAAGAAATTTGGAATCAGTGGGATACCTCGATACTGAAGGACTGTTATATTGGCATGGTCTCCAGTGATGGGCCAGGACACGTCTCACCATCAAGAAATTACACATGTATTTCTGTTATTGGTATCAATGAGACTTCATCATCAAGTTATCATCCTTCATTCATTTTGAGATTTTTTTCTCTTAAATTTCATATTAGTCAATAAATGAATCTTTAAGAAATGAAAGTTTTATTTGTATTTTTAGGTCATATGACCCAAAGGGTCAGGATGACCTATAGCCATCGTGTTTCATCCATCATTGTGTGCCATCTGCTGAGCGTAAACCTTCCATTCAAATGACTTCTTTTCAATAACCAAAAGGCCCAGGGTGCCGGTATTGGTCTTGTATAATGCTGGGATGAAGGGCTACCAAATTTGTTCAAATGAATGCCCTTGACCAACTTTCAAAGGCACAGGGGTCAAATGAGTTGAAATACTAGAAAGAACTTCTTTTCAATAACCAGAAGACACAGGATGCTGATATTAGACCTGTAGAGCGCTGGGATAAAGGGCTATCAAGTTTGTTAAAATAAATTGCCTTGCCCTATTTCAAGGGCACTGGGTTCAATAGTGTTGAAATCTTTAACATCCCATTCATAATAACCAAATGGTCCAGGATCATGATATTGAGCCAGTAGCATGCATGGATGAATGACTGACCTTCATTCAAGGTCACGTGTCAAATATAGGCTAAAATCTTCACACAACATTTTCTCAATAACAAAATCCACAGATTTTATATTGGATCTGCAGCTTGCTGGAATGAAGGGCTACCTTCATTCAAGGTCAAAGGTGTTCAATACATTAAAATCATTTAAATGAATTTTCCTCAATAACAATGAGGGGACCTTAGGTGACCGTTAGGACCCATGGGCCTCTTGTTCGATATAAATCTCTTGATATTTGCATACTGATTACTTTCAGCATACTGTAAACTTAAATCATAAGAAAAAGCCTGTGATAATGCTTATCTGCACTTTTATTTCATTTTCAATTCATGTTTCTTAGTAAACTCAATATAAAGATTCGGTCGTCTTTATTTCCATAGCTTGACTACGATCAGATCTGTGTAGCTACTTTGTGCCATATCATTGTCAACACATCTCGCTAATGTCTACACATAAACAATAAAAAAATCTACCATTACTGTACCAGTGTTTGATAAAACAAACAATACGAGTACCAACTTAATGTTACATTACACTCTATTATTTAATTTACATCACTGTGGCATGCAAACTGTAATTTGCAAGATGACTATACAATAAATATGATCATTCAGCATCTTGCCCATGTAACAACTCCAATATATGTTATGTAGCTACTTATAGCTTAAAACATCGGGCTGATTTTAAATGTACAACTAGTTGAAGTTAAATACTGATTATGATGCCGCTGATGAAATTGTAAAATGACTATAGTCCTCCAAAAATGTGTCCACCGAGAACTGAGAAAAGATATCTTTCTGGAATCTACATAAAGGGAAACAGGATAGACATGACTGACCTGTAAAAAATACCTATTATCAATGATCTTCATTTACTCTATATGACCAACTTCTCAGCTAGATTACATACTGTCTTTTAATCATGCAGTCTATTTCCTGGCTATTCATAAACTAATTAGGAAGAAAATGTCAATCTTGTCTATTTCTATAAATTGAAACTTTTAGACATAATAAATAAATCCTGAGAGATCTTAATATATCAATACATTAATACAGACCTTGAAATTCTTTGTAAAGGCTAGTCAAGAGTACAAAAATCACTATAAGTGTCCTTATTATATGATCCAACTAGACAAGCTATTTGTATTGCGATACATGACCCAACATGTTTTTATTACTACTATTGGGTAAATGTTAGTGATTATTTAAATTTTATCATCAACAGTCCAACCTCATTATCTCCAACCCGTACAACATGCAGACCCCCTTCTAATGCAAAGCATTTATGCTACCTGCTTAACTTTACACAAAACATTCAAATTCACTTAAATACTCATTTATTTTCATGTTTCTAATGGTCCCGCCAAGTCAGAGATAATGAGGATTGACTGTCTTATATTTACACTTAAAAGAAAGTCACTTCTAAATAATATGCAGCTCTATTTTTGTATAACCTTCAAAAAACCATTCTGAATTTCCTGGCAAAAAGTAAATGTATTTCAGATAATAAATAATGGGTCAAATCTAGAAAATCATTCTTCGAACCAAATTCTAGTTGTGAACCACATGAATTGTTCATATATTATAAAGGCAACACTGAATGAATAAAAGATTGATACAAGCTCAATTCTTCATCACCAAACACTTATTATTGTGGCAGTATCAACATTTGAACAATCTATCACTACATGTCGTTATCAGATCAATTTTTTTCTCTCTTACATGTACATCAGAAAACAATTGCTAAATTAAATTCTTCATACTGTGATGTTTAAGTCTGAAATCTTTGGTTTGTGCAGAGATGGAACACGAAGCAATGAATTCTGGTCCAAAAAGATTATCTCTTTAGTTGAATTTGACCCAAGTCCAGTCTAACTGGAACTGGACATCTGAGTATTTTTCTTAACCAAATATTTCTATGCCATGTTTTGATCCATGAACTTTTCAATGTTTGTACCTCATAAATCAATGTATTTATGAAAGTATTCTTATAAAGACTGCATCTCTCAGCAAGTCAATGTGCTTAATACGATAATACACATCTTAAACGACATGGCCATCACCAGAACTATATATGGATAAGAACTACATGACTAGGAGACTAAAGAACAATAAGGTGAACTGTCTGCTCTGCAGATGATCCTTTAGAACATTTGTACCACTCTAGCTAATATCTGATATATGCCCCTACAAACACACAAAACCAAAATACACTTTAATTCATCATTCTGTGCATGTATTTTGTATGTCCGTAGGCTGTGTGCTGCATGTGTCCCTTAGAACTGCTTAAATGCACAACATACACCAAATCAAGAAACTAAAGAAAGGAACTTTGACACAACAATAAGATCAGTATCATCTGAGGCGGACAAAGGATGCATCACATATTTTTTTTATTGACCTGTGACTATGGTAAAATATACAATGTACTCAATATATTGTCAATATTGACACTGCTGACAAAATGGTGGAGTTTTACCTCAATTTCATTTCATGGTAGAAGTTTGTGCTAAATATTTTGTGGTCATACGTTGATGTTCAACTTTGTACATGTACAAACAAAATACAATTCTGCTGACACAACCTAAAAACATTTCCAACTTACTATGCTATTCAATGTAATAAAACTATATATCATACTAATGAGACCAGAATCCATTTGATTATCATGACATACAAAAACATACTGACACAAGTTTTTATTGAAATACAGTAAATCACATATGCTGTTTGGTTATAATTTTGCCCTTAAACTTTTATCCTTTTCTTTTTAATCAACTCTAAATATGTCATGTATTCATAAAGTTATACAGATGTTAATGCAAAATAGAACCCTACAAAGATGCAACTTGCAATTGTTAACATAAATCATTACCAAATCATAAGTGATTTTCAGTATGTAATAATGTATACATATATGTACAACAAGTGTCTAGCATTCTCAGTTATAGATGACAATCATTTGCCAGTCCCGCCCACTGACGTCAGGGTAAATACCCCTGTAATGGCCCCTTTGGTTAAACATGAGTTGGAACAACATCATGTGTACAAAACAACAGTCAAGGCAGGGGATCACAATGTCCGGAGAAATGAATAGGCAAGGGGTGGGAGTTAAATACACATCACAAAACATCACCTGACACTATCAGTTAACTTCTCTATTTAGCTGCAAAAAATAAATCCTATTGATAAAATGAAAATAAAATCTTAGTGTTGTTTTATTTTATACTCTATTCTACAAAAACACTACAAAAGGATCTTTTATTTTCTTTACAGTGAACTTGCACACCTAAATAGCAACTAAATTATTGAGAATAATGAGAAAAAAAGTCAAATAAAAAAAATGCTCCTCTCTACTTTCACATAGTGAATATTACATTATTAAATATCAACATGAATAAGTGCTGCTGACTGTAAGAAAATTGTCTTTTTTCACATTTGATTTCTGCTAGGTGTATTTAATTTGGGGCTAATGAACTTTAATAGAAATGTAGGATATCTAGTGTTGAATATAGCATGGTACATTGTAACAATTTTGTACTATGTCTACTAGATAAATGTTTTCACTGAAATTGATTTGCTCGTTACTATAAAAGTGACCTTTGAAAAATCAAAGCTGGCAGGAAATTTCTTTTTTCTGAGTTCATACAGAAACATTTCCTTTTCTTAAATTGTATCTGAATTCAGGAACTGTTTAGTCTAAAGAGTAGTTTTACAAGACAACACTCCTGGGTTTATACCAGGCCAAATCAGATTCTATGCAATGACTGCTCCCTCCGTTAGCACTGGGCACTTACACAATTTGTTACAGAAGTTTATCTCAAAATTGTACTCACATCATTTTTACGATAGACCTTTAACACTTTATGTTATACCTTTAACATATATTTGTCAGTAAATTAATTTATAGCACTCTTTGAGTAATCATGAAGATAAATAATAATTGTTATTTTTACACAAATTATGTACAGTGAAACCATATTAGTTCAAACACTCCAAATTTGTTCCCAAGGAACCAAATTTTAGACTATCTATTAACGAATCTGTCCAAACACATGTACTGCAAGTCTCTAATAACATGGTTCAACTGTTTGAAGTCTTGTACTTTCCTAAGCCAGCACTAATTATAAACACAAAATACACATCTTGGCAAGGAAGGTCAATAATCCTGTACAACTTCATAATATATATAAAAAGTCATCTGTGATGCATTTGGGAATCGGATAAGTAATAGATAACTGACAGAGAAAAAATAAAAGTGAAAAGTAGATCACAGTTTGCTCCTAATGGTAGTGTGTATGAGGTACACATTTCGCTCCTAATGGTAGTGTGTATGAGGTACACATTTCGCTCCTAATGGTAGTGTGTATGAGGTACACATTTCGCGCCTAATGGTAGTGTGTATGAGGTACACATTTCGCTCCTAATGGTAGTGTGTATGAGGTACACATTTCGCTCCTAATGGTAGTGTGTATGAGGTACACATTTCGCGCCTAATGGTAGTGTGTATGAGGTACACATTTTGCTCCTATTGGTAGTGTGTATGAGGTACACATTTCGCACCTATTGGTAGTGTGTAAGAGGTACACATTTCGCACCTATTGGTAGTGTGTATGAGGTACACATTTCGCGCCTAATGGTAGTGTGTATGAGGTACACATTTTGCTCCTATTGGTAGTGTGTATGAGGTACACATTTCGCATCTATTGGTAGTGTGTAAGAGGTACACATTTCGCACCTATTGGTAGTGTGTAAGAGGTACACATTTCGCACCTATTGGTAGTGTATATGAGGTACACATTTCGCACCTATTGGTAGTGTGTATGAGGTACACATTTCGCACCTATTGGTAGTGTGTAAGAGGTACACATTTCGCACCTATTGGTAGTGTATATGAGGTACACATTTCGCACCTATTGGTAGTGTGTATGAGGTACACATTTCGCTCCTATTGGTAGTGTGTATGAGGTACAGTGTCTTCACTTCAGTGTCATTCTTACACTATTGCCAGGGCTGTTTACATTATTGCCATCCTAACACTTGTCACTTCAAATTTATCTGTCATTTCTTCTGACATGTCACCAACAGAATATGTTTCATGGTATTGCATCTAAGTTAAGCTAAGCACATAGGGTCATCTATCATTAACATTTTTATTGGATAATAATTATCAACCATTTCTTTAACTCGTGGTCCAAATGTCATCTTCACTGATAAGCACAACAATATTGTGATAAAAGAAAATAAGAATTTAGATAGCAAGCTGAAGTATTGATATATATGGCAGTCTCAAATGAGGTCCAGGTAACTAAAACTTGTTAGGTATGGCAGTGAACAATGATTAGAACCTATGGGAAGTGAATTCCTTCACTGAGGATGAACGTAACTGCTTAATATATACAATCTGTTTCAGATATAATGTACCAGGTAGTACATACATGTATCAATGTACTACTCATGGCTATATTTAACACATTGTGCTCGAATATTAACCGGGTCATCACTATAATCATCATTATGATTTAACATATTTTTCAACTCCTTTAGAAAAAAAATTCTTGCTTAAATCTACATTTAACCCTTTGCAGGTTCTGTAATTATCGTCACATCTGTACAATTTTCATTTATTTACAAGTTCTAAAGGCAACATGACACAGTGATTAGCAATGACAGGAATGAGGGAGCGGTCAATCGCCAGGTGTTATTATAAGTTATATATATAACTAACAAATAAATACCATCTCTCTATACTATCCTCATCTATGGCAATTAATATTTATGTCAAATAAATTACTCAAAGACATCAGGTATACAATATACCTATACCTATTTGACTTCCTAAATTCATATTCGTATCAATGGTATAAAAATAACCAAGACACCCGTAGAGTTAGTAATACTCATTTATCACCTGGTAGAATAAATTATTTATCATCTGACAGAATGTATTATAATTTTAATTTAACTGCGTACTACCAGTCAGTAATCAGAAAATAATACATACTATCAAAAACATTGTACTTTACTTCTAACATTTGCTATATCTGATCCAAAATATCATGTGAAAACATAATTTTTGTTGTTTTTTTTTTTTAATAAGAAAAGTTGACAACGGCAGAAATTGCTCCATGGTAGAATGATGCTAAATGCAGCTTCCTGTGAACTAATAAAAAAAAAAAATCCTGCCATTACAATGAAAATGACTAATGAATAAAAAGCAGGATTCCTGTGTTTGCTTCATTTCATTGTCCAGAGACTTCCTAGGAAGATAAGACTCGTGTAGTCCAAGCACAATCACAAAACAAACCAGAAGTCTGATGTATGTAGTTTCCTTGTCGCGTCCAAAGTTTGACAAACTTTGGTATATCTCTGGTACATATAGAGCTGAGGAGAAGTCTCTTCACTGTAGCACAAGCAAGAATAACAGATCGGGATAGTCAAGCCAACAGGCACAAAGCTAAGATACATCACTCAACCAGGGATGTTCTAGACTTTCTAACGCTGTGGCACGCTTCTCGGGGTCAAATACAAGCATCGGCATGAGGAAGTCGGAGAACTGCTGGGCTTCTGAAGGCTCCCATTCATATTTTTCAGTCAGTACTTCATAAAGGCCCCATGGCTTCAGTTTCACAATGTGTCGCAACTCTCCTGTTGAAAAGTTTAAATAACACAATGAAATTGTGAAGAAACTATTTCACGACTCTTGAAGGAACAATCAGCAGATACTTGCTTCCTAAAACTAACTTTAATACATCCCTGAACAACATTTCAACTAATGACTTAACAAATCTACAAAAGTCAAAAGTTTTATTGTCACGTCACCATGGTTGTAACTGTGTGTGACTCAGTAATTCCTTCTACTGTAAACATAGATGAGAAGTGATTCTCAAGCCAAGGTTACCTTTCTCATGAAAATACTGAAGCCACAGTGACCCTAGATGATATTAGGCAGTCATTTGTTGAAAACATACTGAACTCACTGATGTGACTTACCTTTCCTGTTGAAGAATTCTCTGGAATATTTGCCAGACAGGGCTATATGGCGTGGAATGGGGCCAATAAGTTCTATGATGTGTGCGAGGTGGTCCTCATCTCGGGAGTAGTCCTCTCCAGAGTGAGGCTCAAACAGGTAATCACCAGTTGCCAGCTCAAAGGCCTATGAACACCAAACAAATCCATCAGCCCAATGATAAAACAAATTGGCTCATCACTATTGTCAATCAACTGATCTAATCTCATGTCTATAACACTGCATCTGAATTAGTACTTTATTCACTGAGAATAAGCAACTCCCAAGCACTTGAACAACACAAATGGTTTACAATACCTACAAACCACACAACATGAGAATGTGCATCCATCATCATCTTTTCCCATACAATACCACCTTTATAAAATCTATCAGAAACTGTTGCACCTAAGGAAGACAAACTTAATATACTTTGTCTGGACAGGAAAGCAGTAGAAAGACACTTTTGAGATAACTATACTTTGAAACATTGGAGACTGGATTCTGACCATCATACAAACTTTTGATGTCTGAGAATCCTTACCATACAAGCGGTACTCCAGAGGTCGGCAGGTGCACCATAGCCAGCCCCAATCAAGACCTCAAGACAGCGGTACTGCCTTGTCTGAATATCCTCCGTAAAATGGTGGTGCTGTAACCGGAAATGTTTGTCAATAACAACATTCATATCTTGACTGGCCACACCAGTAATAAAAAACACTTTCCAAGTACCAAATTTATCCAAAAATTGATCCTTAAAAGCACTGCTTCCTTGATAAAGTGTATCATAACTTTCACATTAACCTGAGCACATTTTCACCATTTCTGTTTAAAGAAAAAGTGAAATAAATGGATCAAGTGGCAAATATTGTGATCTTCTAGACCTTGAAAGTAGAGTTGAATATTGCCAGCACTATCACACTGCTGTAAATCTTTGCCATTATCTATTCATTCTATACTCAATGCAAACAAATTCTCACTGATACAAAATGATTTAAAAGTAGTGTTTACACACACAAAAAATGTGAATGTTTTAATGCGTTTTAAGATACACTAAGTGTCTATGCTGCACACATTGAAGTTTCAACACAACTATTGGTACTTACGATCCAGCAGGCATTTCCCAAGTCTGCAATCTTTACAGGAATATCACAAATCTCTCTTACTGGGTCTGATTTGCAGCTAAGTTTGCGTGCTGAAAAAAAGGTACAAACATTACATAAAATCACACTGCAATTGTCTCAACATCTTATTCTGTTGTTAACTAACAAAAACAGGTACACAGGCAAATTAAAACAAACTTCATCACTCCTAAGAAGTTATACTAACGTGGCTGGAACATGTCAGTATTATCTAAAAGAATAATTCATCAAAGGTAAGTCATTACAGTAGAGTTTTAAACAATTACAAATATTTACAAGGGTTTTATTTGTAAATCAATTTAAGTATTTTCAAGATTTTTTAATTATGTGAAGTATCATATGAAATACACCAAAATTAAGGACAGGCTGAGGTTTGAACCAAATAATCGTCCTAACACTGACAAACTCAAGCTAAGTGCTGCCTACCAGAGGAATTAGTGTCGCTATTAGCTTGGCTAGTACTGTCCACACTTAGATCACGACCTTTGGACTCTGGACTGGACTGGCCATTATTGCTTTCCTCCATAGCGCAAGGTGTGCTCTCTGGTTCTGTTTTATTTGATATAGCCTCACTTTCAGAAATGTTCATTGAAGTATCCTGTGACACTGTATCCTGTGACGACGGTGTCTCCTGAGACGTAATATTTTTGTTTACCGAGTCCCCGTCACCATCCTGTCCCCCCTGAGATTCATGACCGTTACACATTTGGGGTTCAGGCACCTGTTCAGGAGCCACATTTTGCACAATGATCGTTGTGGTGCCGCCACCATCTGTGATGATCGTGGGTTCAACATAGTTTTTGTTCGTTAAAGATGGGCTTTTCTCGCCTTCACTTTGCTGTGTATTTTCCTCATTTATTTTTTCTGTTTTTGTTTTCTCCTTTTCTGCACTGTTATCTGTAAAATACAATATTTAGCATGAATAAGATTATACAAGGGTGACATACAAGGTATATATCTTGACCCATTTGAAGGTCTATAGATATGATGTGTGTTCTTTGTACAAATTTTATCCATGGATGTTTACATTGTGGTCCACGAGTTCCTATCACATAATTGACAATTTACCACCATAATTATATTGAAAACTTTTAGTAATTTAAAACTTCAACTTCCAAACATTTTTAAGGCATGAAGATTGTGAATTTGAGGACTGGACAGGGCACAAGTTAAAAAAAATGTGTTAAATATACAACATACAAATACATATGAACATTATGTGTGCTTTACTAATCAGAAGCGTTCTGTTTTTGATTTTTTTTTTGTGTGTGTACAAATTTTACTGGGTTTTCTAGAAATGCTAACAATGGGCTAAATTTGAAGGTCTGATTTATACAGGTGTCCAGATTATACAAGGTTACATAGAAATGTGTACTGTAGGATCTGGTTGAAGGTCTGATTTATACAGGTGTCCAGATTATACAAGGTTACATAGAAATGTGTACTGTAGGATCTGGTTGAAGGTCTGGTTTATACAGGTGTCCAGATTATACAAGGTTACATAGAAATGTGTACTGTAGGATCTGGTTGAAGGTCTGGTTTATACAGGTGTCCAGATTATACAAGGTTACATAGAAATGTGTACTGTAGGATCTGGTTGAAGGTCTGATTGTCCAGATTATACAAGGTTACATAGAAATGTGTACTGTAGGATCTGGTTGAAGGTCTGGTTTATACAGGTGTCCAGATTATACAAGGTTACATAGAAATGTGTACTGTAGGATCTGGTTGAAGGTCTGATTTATACAGGTGTCCAGATTATACAAGGTTACATAGAAAAGTGTACTGTAGGATCTGGTTGAAGGTCTGGTTTATACAGGTGTCCAGATTGTGCATATTTACATAGAAATGTATACAGTTGGACTTGGTGAAAGGTCTAGTTTAGACAAGAGTCCAGATTATACAGGGTTACAAAAAAATGACATGTATACAGTTTGACCTAGTGGGAGGTCTAGTTTAGACAATGTCCAGATTATACAGGGTTACAAATAAATGACATGTATACAGTGGGACCTAGTAGAAGGTCAGGTTTATAAAGTTGTCTAGATTGTGCATATTTACATAGAAATGTATACAGTTGGACCTAGTGAAAGGTCTAGTTTAGACAAGAGTCCAGATTATACAGGTTTCCATAGAAGGAGAGAGCTGAAAGTCAGGTTTATATAGGTGTCCACACTAAACAGGAAAACATAGAAAGGGTATGGACATGTAAGAAGACTACATCTAGAAATGCAAACATTAAGATTAACATGTTCAATGAAAAGTACAAATTCAAAACTACTCATTACCAGCATTGTTGTTTTCAATTTCAATGATGTTCAGGTCATTTTTGTTATTCTCCGAGTTCTCCTGGTCGGTGTAGTTGGCGAGACTGTTCTCCGTGGGAGACGAGTCGCTGTTTAAGGTGTTACAGGTATCTGTGCCTTCTGACTGGTCCATACCTTCCTGCTGGGGTAAACTCTGAGTACTCTCACTTTGGGACATATACTCATTCTGTAAACAAACAAACGTTCAACACATGATTGGTATGTTTGTAATGGCTCCTTATCCAACTGGAGTCAGTACCAAATTTTAACCATTTCAAAAAATTCTTAAAAAGGAGAAGAAAAACACAAAAATGTCAACTAATTGGTCAAATCTATTTTCAGCTTCTGCATACCAGTTAAATGGGCTTACCAGCTTTGCAATAGGAATAAGCCTAAAATACCTCCACTAATTAACCTGTATAAGAAGGTGACCTACCTGTTCCCTCTCTCTTTCAAACTCCTCAATCTGCTTCATCTGTTCGTCCAACAATAGCTGTTGCTTCTTTTGTTTCTTCTTCATCTTTTTCTTTTTGTTTTTAGACATCTTTGAGGGATCCAGTGGTTTCTCTTTTGGTGCTGTACTCACTACACATAAAAAGAGGTGCTTAGTTATCTTCTATATCTGAACTTAGTTGGAGGGGAGGTCCTTGGTATGGAAACCATAGCTGGTTATCATTAATTAACATCACTTAAGTAATCACTTTGTGTCGACGACACTCATGCTAGCTGTGTATGATGTTTATTGAAATAAATAAAGAGGTATTTCCGTATTCAATGGCATATGATCTTTAGTGATTGGTCACGCTGATTATATATATATATTAAATGAAGGTTAAAAACATACAGTCCTGATAAAATCTTCATATTATCATTTCGTTGTGTGTGTGATTGGAGAGGTCACGACTGATCACATCCAGTCACAGTGTCACTCTGAAATTTGCGCTTTACAGTGTAATGTATGGTTATAGGCTACTAAAGGTTTAAAGCAGTGAACTCTCATAAACTGGTCAAGTATTTTCTTGTGTTCATGATCACCTTTCTAGCCTTGGCAAGTGTGAATGTCTCTATAGTCTAGTGATAGAGTGTCTGGCTAGAGACATAAGGGTCACTACAGCCTCACCAGAATCATCAGTATTGTGGAGGTTAAAACCAGGAGGAAGAATTCAATCTATAGGCCTAATTCAAACCTCAGCAGCTAGTAGCTGTGTTGTTCATCACTCCTTCCAATTACATTTGAAAGTATTAATTATTGCATCAAAATCCAAAACGATCTAAACAACGTTAATTTCTGAGTCAAAATATAAACCAATCATGCCTTCAAATTCCAGATACACTCAACAACAACTGCACAATATGTTTCATTTCAAGGGAAAAAAAGTTGATATATCCTTGCCCGTGATTGTTCACATGCAAAATTATCACAAGAATATATAGAGTACACTCGATTTATAGTAAGAAAAAACTTGTGTAGGCTATTTGCTGTTCAAGTGTTTCAAAATGCTTTTCATGATATGCTGTAAATAATTAGGCCTACAAGCTGATGACAAAACATGAATATGTGATCAGAACGGTTGCCTATATTTAGATAATTACTGACCTTTATTAGCACAAATTTGATGAAGTTATCTAAAGACTGCTTTGATCGCATCTATGTAGTTTGTCAACCACATTTTCTTTCTCTTAACAATATATCTCTTACACTCTTGATTATTTTCTCGTCCATGCTTAAGAGTTTAAGCTTACAACCAAAATTTATCATAAAAATCTAACTCTATACTCGTTATTGTTGTTTTGCATTAAATGTTTTGCATTAAATGTTTTTACAAACTTTTAAATTAATTTATTGTTATCATATAATTTGATAAATGTCTGAAATTCAATCTTGAAAGTCTGTTGTGGTAATACTACTGAAAATGAAACTACAATATAAACTTATAGTTTTAGAATTATGTCAGAAATCAGTTATCCTTTCAAATATATATGATCCTCTATACAACACTGATATTTTCCAATGAATGGTCGAAAATATTCAAAAATGTTTTTAGTTATTACGTGGAAAACACAAAATAGCTAGTGTATTGGAAACTATGAAAGTATCGACAAGTGGGAGATAAATCTAACAGTATAAAAGAGTAGTAATATCTGCATGAAATACTTTCAAGTTGTCATTTAAAACACCACATCTTAATTTTTGCTTTCTCTTTTGTGTCTATTTATCTTGTATACATGTCTTTATAAAAGAACAACATCAACTACTTCATGACCTAAGTTCAAAACACATTTTACATCCCTTCCGCAGAGGTTGGGTCTTTTTGTAGTGTAAAATTCTGTCCAAGCTATAAATAGTCTTAACTAGCGGCTAGCAGCTGATCTAGGTCATGGTTATATATATAGGCCGAGCATCCTAGACAAACAGTGTTTTAAAAAAATAATGACAGTTTTAGAATCTGAAGATAAGTATATGAGATTTAGACAAACATTAAATCCAGCAATCACTAGTATAGTGGTCTTACCCCCCTTTTCCCAGTAACACTTACAAGTGGGAAAACCACTACTTCTGAAAGCTTCTACTCCAGTCTGTTAGATCGTGTAGGCAAATATTTATGACTTTCCCCAAATGACAATTGAGAAGGTTAAATTGGCAAACTATACATCAGTATGTCACTGTATTGATCAATTACATTTACATTTCTGTCATATGAAAATTTTTCATTCATATAAAACAACGGTCAATGACACTAAGAGGAATCTGTTCAACATCACCACACACACAATAGTAATTATCTTTATGTATCATGTCCCTAGTTCTGACCTTTATAACATCTAATATTGCATGACCTTGCTTTTATGATAGGATTCCAATGCGTGACTTGACATGCAAAAATCTTCCCAAGACACATGATAACACTTTCCAGAAAAGCTTTACTTTCAAGAATGTAACTGGCCAAATATCATGATCAAAGAATAGGCAGGTCCTGGGCCAGGATACTTAACAAGCAGCATTCTTTTCTTCAGAAGAATTTCATATTTTAACAAATTTTCTCCAGGACCTTCAAAATCCCTCCAGTCAATAAATTTAATAGCCTCTCATCCCAATATGCTACTGGCTAAACTATATTATGCATGACCCTGGACTTTTTAGTTCATTTAACTAAAAAAACGTTCATAGCTGAAAAATGGACACCATAATAAAACACAGGCTCAGTTGCCCTTCATGCAAGTGAACAAACAAATGATATTGAGCTAGCTGACCTCTTCACAATATCAGTTAACATACTTACCAGCAGATCCAGGTAGTTTCAACCCCATTTTCTGCCACTCAAAGGCATCTGCAGCAAGTTTCCTGATGTATGTCTCATCCACACACATAAGCACGTTCTCTGGTTTGATATCCGTATGGATTATATTGCATTTTGAATGGAGGTAATGGAGGCCTTGTAGTACCTACATTAGACAAAAAGACGTACACACACTTGTTCTATACCTATGTCACAGAAAGTATTCATATCCATGTTTCATGTAATGTATATAATGTCTTTAAAAATCCTGTTCCAATCACTGTTTTTACAAAAATCTTCAATCTTCTTTACAACTGCTGGAACAAGAAATTGTGATTAATGAACTTATGGTCCAATCTAAAATTTAATTATAAAATATTCAGTTCATTGATTTGTTAAATCCAGAATTAATTCAATATGTTACTTCAATCAGTGGCTAGGTTTTTGCACAATTTTCTATATAAATTTAATCAGGATGATCTGCTTGAATCTAAATGGCCAAATATATATGTATGCCCAATTAATTATAATGCAATCTGACTAAAACTATCAGCTCAATATATTAAATATTCTGAAATGCAATTAATCCATGATTCACATTTTCAGGACTTTTAATCACTTTTCCCACAATTTTGAAACATAATTTTCAATTTACTTAAAAATATTTTCTTTTCTCAAATTTTTGCAAGCGTTTTTCTTGATTTCCTTTAAAACTAAAAATAACTATGATTCATAACCGATTTTCATATGAGATTTTTTAATGCCTTAGGCCATTCTAATAGCCTTTTGAAGCATGCAAATTAAAATGGCCCTTTGTTATTTTCAGGAATTGCAATCAATTAAAAAGGACACCATCAATAAACTACCAAATTTAAGTCTGAATATGGATTTATCCCAATATATATCAATACCTGTGAGGTATTAGTGTTGTCTGAAGTGTTGGTACACGCTATCACAACTTTCAAATAATATCAGGTAGGATATGACACTATCTTGCAGATCTCCACTCTATTACTTTCCACAGCCTAATTCAAGGTTCATTCCAGGAGTATTCAAGGAGATTTTCATAACTTTCCGCAATTAATTTTGAAAATTTCAAAACTTTAATTTTTACTATCTGTCTTTAATGTCATTAGTGCTTGCATATGAATTGAAGTCTTAAATAAGTACATACACAACAACACAAAATATAAAAATGCTGCACTATTTCAATTGCGGTGACGTTCTTTAATGTAATTTTGAAAAACAACACACAATTTTTAGTAGATGAAATTCATTATCAAACGATGTATGCATTCTATACATCATTTGATAATGAATTTCCTCTCTTCAAAGAATTTTGAAACAAACAAGTAAATCTAGAGGGATCTTGGCACCGACCATCGTTTGATCTTTATTTGCTCTTTGAAAGTTGGATCTTTTTTCCTTCTTTTCTTTTCTCTTTTTTAACTCTTCACTTTTAACTAGGGACAAAGGGGAACCTACAAAGAAATTTGAGAGATCTATCCAGTACCTCTCAAGAGATACCAACAACAAACTTTACTAGGCAAAATCCAAAATGGTTCCCTGTCAGGCTTTTCATTTTCAGACAGGCACAACCAAGTACCAATGGGAACCTACATAGGAAATTTGAGATCCATCCTGTACTTTTCTAGAAATAGCAATCACAAAAATTGTTTACGGACAGACAGTTGACAGACAAACAACGGACCACAGACGTAGGGCAATTTGAATAGCCCACTATCTAATGATAGTAAGCTAAAAAAATCCAGGATAATTTCATACAATCCAGGATTATAACAAGATATTATTAAACTTTTTTGCTTTTCAAGTAAATTCAATAGTCTAAGTGAAAATCCAAGAGTTTGCCAGGACCTGTATGAGTCCTGATAATTGCAGCACTTGATGTTCAGCGCTGATCTCCATTATAGCCAAAGTCTTTATGCTGGACAAACTTTACACATCTATCTGATACCAACTCTAATTATATAAGGTACAAAAACACTTACCTGTTTAATTATTCTCTTTACATTACTTAATGGAATTCCTTGATAATTTGATCTAATGATCAGTTTTAGTAAATTGTGTCCTAGCACCTCAAACACCATACAAACATCTGAAACATGTTAAGGGCAATTTCTCAACAGCTTTTGTTTGTAAATATATATCCTCTGTTTACTACATCACACAAAAACGCTTTGGGTAATCAATAACCAACAGGCTCAATGGGCATGTAGTCCTCTTTAACACTATGACATGGTCACAATATATTCACACATTCTCCAGGTTTCATTCCCAAAGATGATGGACAAATATCACTGAGATATGGTAAAAAGGATACGTGTGCCATTGACACCTGATATTTTGAAGTCGTCCAAAAGCTGAACAGTCCTTTCTCTGAATAAATCATTTTCGTCACTTTCTCTTACCTGAAATGACAAGGAAGCAAAAACATAATCAATGATCAGATCTTTTCTAAATCAAAACATTTATTTTACAACCATTGCAAAACAAGTTATTCCAACTGGTATTAATCACTCTTGTTGGTCCGGGTAGAAGCGCATAAGGGGTCTTACTGTAGGAAGTACACAGGGGCAAACACAAACACTATGGATGACAAAAAATGATAACAAATGACATAATGAACTGTAATATAAAGGGTTGGCATTTGTTTTTTAGGGTTCAACATTCTTTTTCCACTTTGATCTCTTAAAGATACGTATCTTGGAGAAAACACCGGAATGACAGAGTAGCCAGAGAGAAAAGAAAGAAAGGCAGCCTGAACTAACTGGCCTGTTCACAAAACACTAAAAAATAACTCCTCATTCTGTACCAAACCTCCTACCACCCTGTCTGTTACAAGGACATCAAACAGCAAAAACATATCCCAAATCTGTGGTGGATACCAAATGAATTGCTCTAATTTGCAAAATCTCGCAAATAAAATTTACTGTATTGTAGCTGGAATTGGTATAAAGATCAGACAGAAAATCTCCAGTACAAAGACAGAAAATGGAGACTCACTTTCACCTTTGTGTGATGCAGACAGAGATATCTCAAACTGACAGAAAGCTTTTAAAAATTAGCACAAAAATTTATCAGATCCTGCACTTTCCAACCATTAAGTAGTGCAAGTTGTTAAACGAACTGTATAAATTGCGACTTCGTCATTGATGTTATCCATGGTTATGTAACATAAACTGATGATAAGACATTATCAGTTAGTGGTCAATCAACATCTCCGTTGAAAGACAATATTTATCTTCTTGTAGCAAAACTGGGAGAGCACCTATGAAGTGCGAAACAAAATGATTTCATGCCAGTGCAGCCATGAGCAGTATTCTGTGTGATACCACCAGAATCAGTGAATTTTGGTCATAAGCTGGTAATAATATAAGGATATCCTATCTGGTTAGAATATATCAACAACATTTTTATTCCAATTGAGATGGTACAAAAAGTTGAGCTCTGAAATATATCAGGAAGAAAAACAGGATATACCCAAATTTCCACAAAATGATAATTTGACTTGATTTGCTGTTACATGACCCTTGAGGAGGTCATGTAGCGTTGTTCCAATCTGCCAATACCACGACCACTCAACCTAATCAAACCTTACCAGCTACTGTCTGTCAAATACTCATGTCTTGTTTTGCTTCCATTTGTTTTAATTGCTAATGCTCAAACCGTTTCTGGTATTATGGATTTAAATTACGAATGATTTAGCCACTGGGAGTACCAAGTCTCCATCTAAATGACACGATGAATAAATGCCAATCTGCAGGCAAGCTTTCCAGTGCAATCCTCATTTCGAATGAAACTGAAGGTCACAAGCAACTACATTCTGATCTTTCCCTGCCATCTAGAGGGAAATCTTATGTCAGTGGTTTCAAGGAGATTGATTTGAGATTTTTTTCAAAGATTCAGATTAGACGTGATAAAAAAGATAAAAGTTTTTACAAAATGCAGCTTCAGTCTAGCTATCTGAATGTTTAATCTAATTTTGTTTTTCTTGGTGTTTTTTTCTTTTTCTCTATCTAAAAAGTTGGAAGTTAAATATTTTCTCACAATCTATAACTGCTGATTAAGATAAACAAGTAAATAGAATAAAGTAATATAATTATTAGTTTTGCTTGAAACTAATTTCTTGTCAGCAGCTTGCATATATTAATGAGTATTAAGGATACATGAAGATTAATGATTCAATCAATTAAACAAAATCTCTGGATAGGCATAAAACTAAATTTTACTTTGTCAGTTTATGAAGGTCAATGCAATTCTACTATCTATCTACCAAGAATTCAATAGCAAATTGATTGGGCAGATAGTAATAGGTCCAAAATTAATATGTTTAATTCCTTTCAAATCTTCTTGGCTCAGAAATCTCAAAGAAAGTATTTAAGATGAATCAATTAGGCTGATACATAAAGTGAGAAGTTAGATATATAAGGGAAACTTGATATGAAAGAGTATCGCTGTGAAATATCAATATTTGTAATGAGATTTCATATTGTGTAAAGATTAGTATTTCTATCCCTTTCCATTGTCTAATTTTGTAAAGAATGGAATAAAACTGCATAAAATCCACCATTGTTTAGTCTTTATATGCTCTCTGAAAATTGGATCTTTTCCCTTCTTTTCTCTGTTTTTGTTCTTGATAAGACATTTGAACATTCCTTTGCAGAAATGAATGATAATCTTCACCTGCCAAATACAAAATGGCCACCTGGAAGCCATTTTCTTTCTTCTGATTAGTCCCAAAATCAAATGAGCAGAGATCAAAGGGAACATACCTATTGAATTTGAGAGATATCCATTCAGTATTTCTTCAGAAATAGCAATAACAATCTTTACTTGGCAAAATCCAAGATGGCTGCCTATTGGTTTTGTTTTTCTGATCATTCCAAACTCAAATAGGCAAAACTAGGGACCTACAGGAACCTATATAAATGTTTTTAGAAAGATCTATAGAGTTATTCTCAAGAAATAGTGATAACAAACTTTCAAAGTCAAAATCTAAGATGTCCATCTGTTGGCCATTTTCCTTTTCTGATCAGCTTCAAAATGCTTCTTCAATGTGTTCCTTTAGTTAATCAGATGAAATTGGTGTTGCTTTTTTTCTAAATTTGATACAAGTAGTTTTATTGTCAAATTTATTACTTAGTTTGATGGTCTTTCATCCAATATTTTGCAAACTACCTTATTTTGACAATTTTCAAATGAAAACAACATTTATTTTATTTTTTATCACTTCATTACAAAGTGGTGACAACATAAATACCATGAGACTTAAATCGTCTTCAGATACTTAATGCAGTCACATAATGTGCAAACCTGACAATTCACCTATGGTATGGTGACACAAAAACAGGAAACATCAAAGTTGTGTGGATGTTTGACAGGCATACCTGACAGCATGACAAGCTCAAGCTCTCTGAACTAATTTACTATGTTCAGCATCAGTGTTGACATATGTCGTGACAATATTGCCATCAAATGTTGTTTTATCACTTTTACAGTAGTCAACACTGCATGAAGCACATTTCCACAAACTAACCCACTTTCCCTGGATTTCATTACAAGGTCTCAGGCTGATCTGACAGAGTAAACTTTCTTGCCAAGCCTTGCTGTCTCTAAGATACAATGTTTTCTTTCAGGGAGTGATGAACATCCATCCCTTCATATGCACAAACATTTAATGTTGTGACTAATTTAAATTGCTCCTATTACTTTATCCCAATTTTAATTCACTTAAAAAACCATCAGTGGTTTGCAAATAGGACATGAATTAAGTGCTTCAACAAGGAGGTTGCTCAAAGATTAAAGATATCATATTACCATTACATAATTTCTTAAACTCCCCCGAGCTAAAGCTTATTGGCTACAAGCTTGTAATGTAATTATCCTGCAAGACGCAAATGCATAATTTTAACTATTTACCTTTTCTACAATATTTCTTGTAAAAATCAAACAGATGATATTTCATTATCTTTCCACACTGAACTCTGAGTCATGATATTTAAAGTACCGACATCCTTCCCACACACGATAACCGCCACATTCATGCTTACACTTGGACAATGTATCTCTGTCGATTACTAAAAAATTATTTCTGTCCATAGGCCTAATTAAACCTAATATATAAACAACCTAATTATAGCTGATCTCATTCTAGCACATGCGTCCAGGAATGTTGACGTCACTGATCACATTCTAGCACATGCGTCCAGGAATGGTGACATCACTTACATTGAACACTTACAATGCCATCACATTTTAATGTCATGACCTGTACAGTGTATCATGACACCCCATCCAGTCACATTATACTGACAAGTGCTCCAATAGTGTCATCACACAGAAATGTCATAACCTGGACACGGTAGCATGACACCCGACTCGGTCACATTATACTGACAAGGGCTCCAATAGCGTCGTCACACAGCAGTGTCATAACCTGTAGAGTGTACTATGACAACCCCACCCAGTCACATTATACTGACAACATGGGCTCCAACAGTCTTCAAACAGAGCATGACACCCAACTCTGTCACATTATGAAGAAATAGAGCTAATCAGTCCCTGCTGTCTGAACACTAACCCAAGAGTAGACATATGAAATTTAGGGACAATGAGATTTGTCTCTTTTAGAGGGGAGATCTCATGGCCTTTCTCACAAAGGCTGATACTCAACACTAGACCAAAGAAAGGAGAAATAAGATCCAAAATTTATTCAGCTTTTATGATCATGTATTGGGGACAGTATGCACAGTTTTAACACCCTACCTACAAGGCAGTACAGAGCTGAATTTTAAGATTTAAGCCACAATATAGTAAAGATGGCCATCCCAAAATCAAAGCTATCAACAACAATGGACACAAACCTATACAACATCCAATGCCCCTAGAAACATAATAACATACACCAACACAACGGGGCTGCCCTCTGAAGAAATGATACACACCAATACAACGGGGCTGCCCTCTGAAGAAATGATACACACCAATACAACCCTCTGAAGAACTCATACACACCAATACAACCCTCTGAAGAAATGATACACACCAATACAACCCTCTGAAGAACTCATACACACCAATACAACCCTCTGAAGAACTCATACACACCAATACAACCCTCTGAAGAACTCATACACACCAATACAACCCTCTGAAGAAATGATACACACCAATACAACCCTCTGAAGAAATGATACACACCAATACAACCCTCTGAAGAAATGATACACACCAATACAACCCTCTGAAGAAATGATACACACCAACACAACGGGGCTGCCCTCTGAAGAAATGATACACACCAATACAACCCTCTGAAGAACTCATACACACCAATACAACCCTCTGAAGAAATGATACACACCAATACAACCCTCTGAAGAACTCATACACACCAATACAACCCTCT